CCCTGTGCCCGCCTGCCACTGAATGAAGTAAAGCTCGGCTCTCCAAGTCCCATTTCTTTCCCCAAAGAGCACGCACTGCGTACGCACATAAACACAGACCCCGAAAAGGCAGCGACTTCCTCCTGAGCAGAAGCACTGGCTTGATGTTAGAGGGTTTATTTTAAACTGTTTAAAATCAGATGGCAGGAGTAGACAGATGGCATATATTACCATATTGCCGTTGCCTATATTGCCTTCTTGATTATCTCAGTTTCCTTTCACACTTCAAATACATCGTCCCCCTCTGAAAATACCATTCATCCTAGAAAAACTTAACTACCCCCAGCCACGCTTCACTCTCTGGTTATCTTGTCACAGCTCTTACGCAAGCAGGTAAGCTTATACCACAGAAGAGTTCAAGATGACTCGAGTGGCATTTCCAGGCCATAGAGCGAAAGTTACAGGACTTTCCTCACTGCACGTATCAGAGGATCATCTTCCTGAGCTTCTTGTCCGAAATCCAACTTCCTTTCAGAACGGACCCGCATAACTGGGCCTCTCAGCAGCCTTTCCTTGAATTCTCACTGCTTGTCCCACTGCACTCCTGAAAACCTTTTCTTAACCCTTGCTCAACTTTCTTCTCATAGCCCATACAATACCACTCCCTCCAATCCCATTTTTAATCCAGATGTCCCTTTCCTGCAGGAACTAAACAGCAGTCTCTGCACTCGCCTACAGTAGATCTGGGCTCTCTGCTAAGCTCTGCGATTACAGAGAATGGAGAGCTTTTAACAGACTTGCCATTTTAGTAACCCCATCATGTGCTGCTGGCCCAGAATTCTTCACTCCACGTAAAGTTTCCCAGTAAGCACTTTCAAATGAGCAGTTTTCAAAGTTAAAGGCAAAACTTTATATTGTATTAATAGTATAAAATATTTTTTATATTTCATATTTCTTCTAGCCTAACCTGGAATGCTCATGGCATCAGCAAGTGTAAACCAAATATGCATTGTTACAGTTTGTTGGTCTCCATGTGCGGCACTTACTCCGTTTCCCTCTGGCCTCCATGTGCTCTCTTCCTGCCCATGCTACATACCCAGCTATCTTTCACACACATACCCTTCCAACAATGCAGAAGGTTTTTCTAAAAATGACAGGTCTTTGAAACATACCCAGATATTAGCCTTATTGACCAAAGAGCTGAGGATAGGTAGAATACAGTGCTTTAGCTCTGCCCCCTTTACTCACTCTCCCCCCAGGCAAGATCACCAACAGGTAATAAACTGACAGCAAAGATGAGTGAAAAACACAACTTTTGGGCAGTTTTTAGGAAGATGGGTATAGAAACAGAATTAAGGAAAAAAACATGGACTTTAATGATGAAAATCCATTTTCAGGATCAAAATATTATTCCATCCAGCACAGTCTTATCCGTAAGACTAGCAAGCACTGCTTTTTTGCAGTCAGACTCTTCACTTTCACAGAAGAGTCCTCCACCTATACCCCCTGAGACAATACAGGCCCAGAAGCTAGGAAAATAGGTAGAGTGATGTGCATAGGTAGAGGGAATACAGAGCATGTTATGTGTGTTCAGTCACATCTGTGTATCTCCAATACCTAAACTTACTACATTACATACTTCAAATACAAATTGGCAGTTGGCTAAAGAGAACAAAATCAAACAATAGACACACACCACCCAAGAGCAACAACAGTTCAGTTCCATTTTCACTTACCTCCAGAAGAAGCTTGAATCCCTCTCTCTTCTTAATTTCCTCCACTAGATATCTGTAATTAAAAATGCAAGGTTTTAACGCATAGAACAAAACAATACATACAGACAGCAACAAAAAAGGTCTTGAACATGTATACACTTTCCCTTTTTTTTTTTTTTCTTTTTCTTTCCCCACCCCCAAAGAAACCACAGAGTTAAACCTCATTTCTACCTGCTGTGAAAATGCAGTAGCTATCAGTTACTGGAAACAAATGAAGGCTACAGCCAGCCAAGGAGCACTAAGGAGTGGCCATATTCTGTCCTCAGGCACAGATTTTTAGTGGAGCCACATGGCACAAATTGATCCTATTTGCATCAGGCTGTGAACTTTGCCAGTGCAAATTTCCATTGATGTTGCTCTCTACAAATTAATTCCTCCATCTCTTTTTCTCAAGTGCTGATATGTTATTTCATGTCACCCTGACATGTCTTGCACTACTATTGTCACCGGGACCTCTTATGTTAGCCCAGAATTTAAAAGTTTCCATATATTTCAAGCCCAGCAATTTTCCCAGTACTATCCTTGTTCCACACTGTACACAACAGTGCACATTTCCATTCAGTGAGCCACTGCAGGTGCACAATAATCCCTGGACACCCCTCCCAATAATGCATTGAAATAAAGTATTTCTTTTCTCTTTCACCTGTCAGTATGAAAAACTGAGAAACCTTCAATGGGAAAATGGGTTTGAATCAAAATTTGTATCCAAACTGCTTAAATTTATAGGCTTTTTTTTAAAAAAAACAAACGTGACCTTTGCCACGGCACATGTCACCCAGGAATTCTGAAGCAAAGAGGACACTTCGACATAGCTGTGACTTCTCTCTTTATTCCTCCCCTCAAAACCTTCCCAAGGAAAAAACTCCAGAGAAATCACGTCAAATTCACACAGCTTTTCCATTTCAACAGAATTTTAGTCTTCTACATGAAGATTTTGCTAACGATAGTAAAACTGAGATACTTAAACTACTGATAGTGTAAAAATCTGTTCTTCCGCTGCATTAATTTGGCATCTTCCTGCCTGCAGCTGCATTACTGGTCACGACACAATTCTTTCATCCACTACTTGGAGAAGAAAAACATTGTCAAAATAACCCCCCTTGGTACTATCCACACACCTGAAATCTGCCCCCACAGGGACACCTCTAGCACAGTCGTATCTGCAAGGTCTGCTGTTTTGCAGACACGATGCAGAAACAGGTTGGCTAGGGAGACAGTAAACAATACCCTAGATGGTACACATTTTTCAAAACAGAGCACGGGGAGTTGTCACGCTGTTTATCATTAACAAGTATTGTGCGTGTGACTCTACCTCTTAGGACATATCCCTGCAAAATGATTGCTGTGGTGGGGTGCCAGTTCCCACGACACACAGCTCTACGAGTTGCGCCACGCTCTTGCGCACTTGCATGCACTGTTGAGATGTTTCCTCTCACTATAGCAGGACCAGTTTCTGGGTCTTTTCTGCCATGACCATTTAGATCCTACATGGCTGTTAACGACCACACTACTGTTTAGGTTGAAAGGCAGGCATGCTGAAAGGTAAGTAGGAGGCTAAATATCATGTGAGCATGTTGGGGAGAACCTCTTTCTGCAGAGGAATTGTCTTAGTGAACCAAGCTCATTGTTTTTGTCCCGTTGATAAGAAGATACTTGTCTGTGCCATAAAACCAAGATTCAGCAAAATCAGCAGGCTATTCAGAAGACAGTGGCCTTTGATTTTCTTTTTTTTTTTCAATAAATCATGAAAAAGAAACCTATGCATGATCACCTTTTTTCTTTTTTTTTTTCCTTTTTTTTTTTTTTTACTTTTTTGAGGTCTTGAATTGTTAGAGATATTTTACAATGCTTAATAACCTGCTCTCTTGTCACAAGTGTCTTTTTTCTATACTGCCATCTGACACGAGATATCTGATGTCGGTCAAGCTCACAACACTGTTAATCATGTTCTTAACTACATTGCCAATAGCCTAAGAAAGCAGCCATTAGAAAATCCATCACCCATGATTTATCTTGCCAGGACCATTTGATGGCAGTGGAGCAATTTACTCCGTGCATCTTTCCACAGTTGACAGTAGAGTTTTATTATTGTGTCATGGTTGCAGCACATCAGAAGGGCTTGAGTCTCAGTGAAGTGCACAGAGAAGTGGTATTTGCTATGATTAAGCCTTCCAGAAAACAGGGGTGGAGATCTTGGAAATCTGCAGTGAAAGTAGACATATGTCTGCTAAGAGTGGGTGTCAGAAGAGGAATCAGGCAGAAAAACTGCCAAGATGCCAAAGCATAAAATGCAGAGGTGGTTATAGCTCTATTCTAAAAGCAGTTTAATTCTATTTTCTTTTTAGTGTACTTCATAAAGCAACACCCCTGCATCAAAAATAACCGGGGGAAAAAAAACATCAAAAAAATTTCTGAAGTGATCAGCAGGATGTTCTACTGCAGGTATTTTCAAAATAAGCCTTTCCAAATAGGTAGCATCACAATGTTCCTGGGATAGCTAAGACATCTAATACACTGAAAACGATTCATCTTCAGAAGAAGAATTTAATGGAACGCCAAATAAGCAAAGCTTGATGCTAGAGAAGTACATGCCTGCAATTACCCTAAAATGTTTGCAGCTCTACCTGGCCATGGGGGAAAAAAGTAATCTTGCTCTCAACTTCTATAGTCAATGGACTAGTTCCAGAATTAATCCAGGTCTGCGTTCAGCAACACTGAAATACTATCTTTGCAATATCAAAGTAAAACCTACTGTAACAAATAAGGAGAAAGGCTGCACAGCTGTTGAGTAGTTGGGAAACCTGGCAGAGCGCCCAGTAAACCTGATGTCTCAGCTGCAAAGTGCCCATGTCCATGCAAACCCCAGATAGCAATGCAGCTACTGCAAAGAATATACTTAATCAGATAATGACTAAGAATTAAATTTCTTCTTAAAGAAAAAAAGAAAAAGAGACAACTCAGTCACTTTCAGCATTATCAACTGAATCCTCATGTTCAAAGAAAGTATCGATCCCAGAAATGTCATTAATCACTACACTCTCAAACGACCTTGGCTAGTGACCTTGATAAGGCTGAATTCTCCCACTGATAGTGGAATGAATTACTTACTCTGTACAGACACAGAACAGTACAACGCTCTGGAACAAAAACAAGGTGCAATTTAACCAGAAGATATTAAGGAACATTTAACCTGCCAAACAATGTGTGGCTTTAAAGAAGTAAAATAGAGAAAAAAGCCACAGCTCATTTGGGCTTTTCTGGTTTTGCTGCTTTCTTGTTATTTCTTTCTAATCCACTCTGGGTTTAGGTCATGGATATTTTTACCTTTTCTTTAAGTGACTTCGTTAAAGTGAGACTATTCCTTTAATTTTTACTGGAGTAAACATTCAATTCTTTTCAACTTGTTAGTTCGTATAAAAAAATAAAATTGCAATATAATATAGATGAATGTTTTTCAATCTTAATGATTTGACTTATGGTAGTCTGCAGCTAGCCCAGGAACGGGTGAAGATTTCATTGTGGTTTATCTTGCATAAATTCTGAACAAATACGATACTTCAAGTGAATTGTTTTTAATGGGCCATTATCTTATTTCAATATTATTTCTTCTATCAGAAGACAAAACAACCGGTGTATGGTAATTTCCTCCCAGAAACTGAGACATCACCGTCACTTTAGAAACACCTTCTAGCAAGAATTTTGCAGAATTCACTTGTGAAACTCAGTTCTGCCAGACCAAAAACTTAGTAAAATTGAATGGAGAGGGGAGAAGATTGCAAGAAAAAGGTGCTTCAGTCCCTAACCGAACATACTATAAGCATTAAGAACTTCAGAAAACTTGTAGAGAAAAAACAAGCAGTATCTCAGAACAATATGCCTTCATATACCTCTACTACATCCTAACATTAATAGTGTCCTCATATGAATTTCCCCACATCATCAGCTTTGTGTTTCCTCAAGTCACGAGGAATGAAGTGAGCAGAATAACAGCTAATTGGCTCCTTGCTAGGCACAGCTCAGATCCTGGCACATACGGCTGCCTTTACATTAACACCAGAACACAGAGCTGCGAGTTAGAAGGTGATATACTGGTAAACCTGTCCTATCTCTGGTTCAGATAACATAAACGTTAAACAATGTAGATTGATAGTCTAATTTGAACTTCTGTGTTTACCAACACCTATGCTTATTGCTAAAAGTAGCAATTACTATTAAGTATTGTAGCAAATGTAGTAACACTAATTATTATTGCTATTAGCTCCTTCTATTATACAGAAACAAAAAGGGAGGGGAAAAAAGTAACAATGTGGTCTGTTCCAGGATAAGAAGTATCAGCAATGTCATCATCTCAGCCAATTAAACAGACTAGACACATTCAAAATTGTGAAGCAGTACCTAGCCAAAGCCAGTGCCCTGTTTACTCTCTCCTCGAGGCCCGTAGTTCCCAGTGCTTTCCACATCAGCCAGAATTTGAAGGCATCCGGATGCCTGCTGCACTGAATGGACTTGTCACCAGTGTCATAGCTGACATCGTAGAACTTGTCCTGCTGGAACAGGTACGCGGCCTTGGCGGAGTAACACTTCTTCAGGAGGCCCTATCAGAAACACAATAGAGACTTAGATTGCTGGTAAGCATTTTCAAACCTTTTTATTTTCACAAGCCAAAGCCTTTTTTTTCCTGTCTGTGCCAACCGCTTAGTAAAACAGCGCTGGATGTACTGGAAACTATCCAAAGCTTGTGGCGTGGTTTAAGAACCCTGGATGAATGTGAACCCAGTGAAGTCAGCACTGACAACAAGGAAACTTTTTTTCATTATTTTCTTCATAGTGTCACTGACAAGTTGCGACTGAAGAGGAACTCTGACTCACATCTCAAGCAACTGTGGAAGTGGGTACCACAGGAACAGTTGCCCAAAGACATACGTGGGTGGGCAAGAGGGAGAAAAAGAAGAAGCCTATGTCCCTGCTCCAGTCTATAGATTGGAAGAACTGCCCCTGAGGACCTTCCTACACGTTCATAAGTGGCTCAATCTATTCTTTCTTTCATCTGACAAAGAACTTTACATATAGCACAGTTAATTGAAAGTAGGGAAGATTTTAGCCCCGCAAAATAAATGTTTAGCCCATACCAGAAAAAACAGTCTCTGAGGATTTCGCATAGGCTGACTGAGTGGAAACACCAACTGGAGTACAATTGTACAACCCCAATTTTTTAATTTCATAGTTCTGGCAACTTTAACATTTGAAAATAAGCCTCAGAAAAGATACTTTAGCATACCCTAATTATGACTTGTTAATGAAATTATTTTTATTCAGCAAAATCTTAAAGGTGCAGGGGAGGAGAAGAGCGATAGGAAGAATGAAATATCGAAGTGTACTCTGTAATGCTATGAAGTAGAGAGAAGGGCTAAGAGAAAGCAAGTTAGAAAAGCAGAGGTGAGGATGGTTCTACAAGGATTCCAGGCAACAGAAAGAGTTGTAGATTTGTCAGTGATATTAAAAGTGGGTAAAAAACCAAAACCAAAACAATCCATAAGATAATACTAGAATAGAAATTCAAGCGAGGTTAAAAATATGGCTACAGCATCTGATTCAGATCAAATGTGTATTTAAGTGACAGTTGAACCAGAAGTCTTCCATGCAGAACAGACCAAGAAACAGAAGTAGAAAAACTTGCTAAACAGTATCTTGAAGACCACAATTAATTTTCTAATTCAACATCACTCTTCAATTTTAACCATGTATATGGAGGGGTTAAAAGATGGGATTTTGGTCCGTAGTTGGACCCTGGGTATGAAGTAGATAGCCAAGAAAACCACAGCAGAGGGGTTAAAAAGGTGGACTTCTGGCCCGTGAGAAGAACAGTAAAATATTATTGTGTTCCAACCATGGACCACGCGATGGCATGTATACGGAGGGGTTAAAAGATGGAATTTTGGTCTATAGTTGGACACTGAGTGAGAAGTAGACAGTGGGAAAACCGCAGCAGAGGGGTTAAAAGATGGACTTTCGGCCCGTGAGAACACCACAATTAGCGCAGTGAGAAAAACAGATAGCTGGGTGAGAAGTAGATCACAGGCCGGGTGAGAGAAACCAGATGGTTTCCCACAGAGATAAGAAAGTTGAGCAATACTAGGGGAAGACGTGGAGGTAGGAATCCTCGCAACACCTTGCTATTGGCTTAAGCATGACTGACAATATGCCGTGTGTACAGAGCCTATGAACCAATAGACGGGATGGCTATGGTGCGTGCAGCGCGCCTGGCCAGCGGGCGCATACGCCATAGGCTCCCTATGCTGAGGGTCAGCAACAGAGGCGTGTTTCGGCACTCGCTGGTCACGTGTGTCGAAACCCGCTCCTCTGCAAATGTATAAATACCAGGATTTCCCGAAGAGCAGGGGATTGGTATACGGCGAGGCCACCGTTGCCTCCGTGGGCACCTACCGACTGCTGGGCTGAGTGCGCGGCACAGGACAACACGAGAATGTACAGATGGGCCATCTTCCTCACAGTCCTCAGGTCGGTAAAACAACTGCTTTGCAAGATACCCTTAGTGTAACGCATGCTTGCAGGTAATAAACGCATATTGCTTTTCCCCTTGTAGTCTGTGTGTACGTGTCTACCCTTGTCGGGAATCCTCGAAATCACCCTAAGACAAACCACCTGAAAACACACTTAACATTTCATCCATTTCTCTGCATCTGCTACAAGTCTGATTTTAAAGTGGCAGACAGTGCCTGGCATCAGTCTTAATCAAAGTGTCATATTCCTGTAACAGTGGTACAATTCTTTATCTACATTGCAGTACACTACTGATAACTTCGGAACTGGCAATAAAATAGAGGGGGGAAAAAGGTCATGACAAAAAAATCCAAAGGAGAAAGAATCCACTGGCATACATAGAATAAGCCTCTCTCTCTCCTAGCCTTTTCAATTCCATCCAATACTAAAAATAAAACAAAAAAACCCAACCTGTGCACCTATTTGTAGAGCACAAAAAGAGAACACCACCAAAGGTTTCTCCACAACTTCTATAGGAGTTTGACAATCCCACTGTAACATTGGTGGTTTGCAAAAAGGACAGAAACTTCAGTTTGAACTCTCTAGCCACAGGACAAGCACATTCAGCCTTGTGAAAAGACAGTTTGTGGGACATCTTGGGGGGGAGTGGGGGGAAGAGGCAGCGACTGCTCTCCCTCTGCAGTCAGAGTGATAATGTGCTGCTGCAGCACACAGTAGCCATAGCTGGAAAGCCAATGCTGGGCGCAATTTTTGTTGTGGCATCTGAGATTCTCACACCCACTTTCCAACTTTCTCAGAAAAAGAAAGGCAAGAAGATGACATTAGAAACCAAAGAAACGTCAAGCATGGAAGCATCCATCCTTCTAGTTTTTCTAGAGCTTTGTGTCTCTGGCTAGCAGCTGCACAACAGGAACAGGAATCTGTTTGTCAAGCCATTGTGCCCTATTCACTGACATCTCCATACCTTGATCTTCAGGGGAAATAGACTAGACATGGTATTCAAAAACAAAAAAATAAAAAAGGCAGCAACATCCAGAAATTTAATTGCTTTGTCTCTCACTGCCTTTAAAATTTTGCATGGTGTTTCTGCAGTGAACGTATAGCAAGGTTGATCAATTTGGGACTATCTTCTGGCTTATCAGAATGTAACACAGCTGCACAAAAGAGGACATTACAGGGTATTAGTTCCCCTCATGCCTGTCATCTGAAAAATAATAACTTTTGTTTGTCACAAGAAACCTAAACTCACTAATATTGGTAATATTACAGAAAGACTGTGAAGTTCACTTAAGACCACAGTACAGCTGCAGAGCTTCCGAGTTTAAAAACAAATGCTCTAGAGTGAAAACTCAACAAGAACAAATAGTGAACTCAAATTTCTAGGAAGGTATTTCATTTAAAAAAAAAAAAACAAAAACAAAATCACACACACAACCAGGTACTGCCCTACTCTCCTGGTGCATCCAAAGCTGACAAGATGTGCTGGCTTGATAAGCACGTGGAAAAGGATCATCTTACTAATAACGTAACACGCTCAAGAAACCCTGCTGAAGATACTGCCTACTGCCAATCTCCAGAGGAAAATACAGCGACATCCTTCAGCACGTCACTAGAGCAGACAGGAGAAGAAACAAAAATCATGCTTTATGAGAAAGAAATATGCCAGACCAATGCAAGATGCAAGTTGGAGGAGAAAGAGAAGGGAAGAGAAAGGGAACGTTGCAGAACAGAGTTGGGGGTGGGGGGCGGACATGACAACAGAAGAGGAAAAAAATTCAAGATAAATTTTATGCTCAAGAAAGAGTTACTTCTTAATCACTGCTATCTCAAAAGTAATGCTGAAGACATAAAACCTCACTTTTTTCTTAGTCAAAGGATGGAAAAGTAGAACAAAAAAAAAAGGGGGGGAAAAAAGTATGCTTTTTAACAACGTTCTCAGTCCCAAGAAAACCAAAAATTTCGTTAGAATTGCCCCATTTTACAAGTTTGAGATTCTTTCTTCAGCATCTTTTATCTTGCTACCCTTTGTACAGAGACTAATGGCAGTGCTCTGCCTTATACCAGGGCTGCTAAAATTTAGAAGACGAAAATACTATTTTCATGGAGGCTCTAGTCCACTATGAAGTTTCAAATTACCTTCGTTTTTGATGAAGTCTATGGATAGTTGCTGTGTGTTCTAATCAATGGCAAATAAATGAATAAATACTGATACTGAAATCAATATAAGAGCTCCAGTTTCATAATTCAAAGTATTTTTCTCATTGAACAGACTTACCTACAGCAAGCCATCTCTTTCCATTTCCATTGCTAATTAAAAGTGAATTTCAATTTCATTAACAAAACATCTTTTTCCCCAAGACAAACATCTTCCTCTTTTGCCTCATCTGAAGCAACAACCTTTTGAATGGCATACCTGAAAATTCTCAAAAAGCAGTGCAGTGCAAAAGGCCACCCCTGTAATTCACTTCAAAAGGTGAGAACAAGCTCTCAGTTGTACTAACCCCAAGCAGAAAGTAATGGGAATAAAATGTTTCCTGCAGCTGCCATGGAAAGAAATCAGGGAAGTAGATATGTTTTGATGCCGCTAATGACGAGGAAGAGATTACACTGTAGATGGGTACCATGATCACCTCAATCAGTTACATTCTGTGCTAAACTGGGACTTCATTAGCTACATTCTTTGAGACTTTATTTTTAACTAATAAGTGAAAATTCTGCTCATTACCTAGAATTGATTGCTAACCACCTAACCTAGTGCTACGCTCTAATGAGTCACAGAACTTTGGCATTGGTGATAAACATTAGTTCTCTATTTATATGGTGATAATATTCACGTCTATAAGGATTATAACAAGGACAAACTGGAGTAGCTCTGTGGTCTTAAAGGAGTATGTACAACCCAAGACTGAATCATAGCACTTTAAGAACATACAATAACAAAGTTGACTCACTAATATTTTGAGCATATCGGTCCATCTAGCTTTGTGTTTAAACAGTCACTGCAATTCACACCACAGTAATATAAGCGTTTTCCGAGTGTGTCTATCTTACTAAAAAAGTGATGAAAGTTACTCAGGACATGGCAGTGAAAAGGGATAGCTGTGCATTTCTTGGGTGCTTTAAGCACTGAAGAACTACTGTCATTGATCTGAGCTTTTACAGGCTATTAACCAATGTCTCCCTTTGGTGAAAAAGCTTCTTCTTTCTAATAAAGTAAACCATGTATTTCTCTTTTCTGTCTCTACCTTCCTTGGAAATCGTTCCAATTTTGTTTCAATAAGGCTGGAAGATACTCTTTTATCAGCATTTTACTGCAGTTCCCCCGTCCCCCCAATCTGTATAGGAAAGTATTTAAACACAACGTTTCATTCTAATAATCTAGCTGCAATGTCTTAAGCCTATTAACTATGACTTTTGCTAATGGGAAATCAGGGTGTTACCACTACCTCAGAAACTTGATGATTCTTTCTAAAGATTATCATTTCATACATAGGGTAAAATACAAAGCTTGGGCTTGTTAAAAGTTCTATGCCTTAAAAAAAGAAAGAGAAAGAAAAACTGAAGGGAATTATTATCATCTTATAATTTATTTCTTTTTAATTATTATATAATTAAATTATAATTTATTTATTATTATCACACTTATAATTGCCTAACCCTAATGCTGAAAGTAGCCCCCAGTTTCCAAATGGACTTCAAAGCAAACAGGAAGATAGGCTAACAAAACTTCCTTAATCAGACCTTCAAAGGGAGCTAGGGCTTAATTCATAAATGGGGCTTAACATCTATGCTTAACATTTTGCCGCTCTGATTTCTTGCAGAATTCACCACCTGAATATTCACTAGCAGAGCAATGTGTGCTAAACTCTTCCAGCTCCCACCTTAGCACCCAGCTTCCACTGAAGCATCCTAACTACAGTGTGAAGAAGTTATGTCCACATATAAATGTGTGCTTCACCTGCAGCCATAGGTATTTATGTAGTTTAGGAGCAGTGGAACAAACTCCAAAGTGAGGAACTGATACACATACTCTTCCATACTCTTACTAGTGTGAAAATAGCATTTTTAATGGGAAACTGGGTCCAGCTGCCCGCTCCAGATCTGGTATGGAGTGTATCAAAGAAGCAAGGCCTTTCTGCCAAAATGTCTTGATGATCATTTGATCTTTCTGTCTTAATTTTTTATATTCCAACACTTTAAGAAGGCTGTTATACAGTACTGAAATTTGAATGTGCTTCTGTTTGCATATAAAGACCACACTGGCACATACACAAAACATCTAAGTGACAATTTGCCAGGAATTAAACACACAGTAAAACACCCTCTTGTCCATGCAGAAGACCATGCAGAGGTCTTCTACCTTCCAGAATGTGTCTTGCTTTACAACAGCATCTGACTGTATGATCACTAATACTTGTGTTTTCACACCTCAACTGCCTAGGATTCAGCTTTACACGTATGTCCAGCACAACATTGCCTAGCTGTGATTTAGAAGTGGAATAGCATCGCTCCATCAGATGTTACACTCCATGGAAGGAGAATGCAGAAAGGCTGCCAGAGCCCTGAAGTTGGAACAGTGTTTGTAAAGAGACTCTAAATGCCAGGGCAGCTAGAACATTTCATTCCTCTCTGTTTCTTTCCTCTCTCTTCCTGAGAAATTTCCACTATGCAGCCCAAGTAGTCTAATTATTACCTGGGGCTGTATCTATGTACTGGGCCTAATTAGTTAAAATATAGCACTGAATTCTTCCCAAGACTGCAATTAAGACACCACAGTAATCTTAGTCAATAACTTCATTCTGCTTGTTTTTCATCCTGGAATAAAGATAAAGTGATGGACAGGTAGTCCTGGAGTCTAATCCTCTTTAATCCCACAGACTCTAGTCTAAGGAAGTGAGGTGGCAAACTTCTCCATGCTGTTCTGCCATGTCTCACCCCTGACTGATTAGCATCTATGCTCTTTGGTCCTCATCAGTTACTACCAGGAGTTAGTAACCAATTACATGGACAGCTAACCACTAGCAACTGCATAGAAACTACCACCTGTTTTGACAGATATTTATGAAAGTCATTTACAAACCATGGCCACAAAACAGCGATGCAAACCTCAGGGGCTCCATATCCTCATGATGTTCAGTCATTCATAACCTACAAGCTAAAACTCACCCCTGATGGTGGACAATGGGCATAAGTTTTAGCAGGGCTGAGTGTGAAATGGGGCTTGAAATAATTGACCTCTGACGGGTTTCTTTATTAAGACAGAATTCCACAAAGATATAAGCATGGACTTTTACCCCATTGCAGACTCATCTCACTTTCATGCCACTTGAGATCAGAGCTCTGTTGTTTGCTTGCTAGACCTTTTAATTAGTCATGGCTTTTGGAAAGCCTAAATCACCCTGGTGATGAGGAAGAACTAGTAGAGGAAAGAAGGTTCAGCACCTTCACCTGCACGTGCTCTGACTCCCGTCTCTCTCCCTTCTCACTCTGGTGCACCCACGTAAGGAGATACAAAGAGGAGCTCTGCCTATGAACAGAGACACAGTACTGCTGCAGTCGCAATGGATGACAGCTATTCTGAGGACTTTGATGAGCTCGGTATTTAAGTGCTGCAGAGCCAGGTGACAAAATACTCAATTCTGAATGCAAATCATGTACAGAAGTTAACTAGCAAGGGCACCAGCTGCAAAGCTCGACCACTTGAGTACAGTGACTTGGATCAGTGTGACCCTGCTCTCTTATCAATTTCGTGGTGAAATTCAAACTAATATCATTCAGCCTTTGCACTGCAATGTAGTAAAACTGACTTGCAAGTTGGTTTCTAATTATTTCCATTTCCATATTACAAGAATGACAGCCTACTGCATTAAAAAAAAAAGAAAAAAAGAAAAAAAAAGGACAGGAGGACTTACAGAGTTGTCTTTCACCAGAAGAGCACAGCACTGGATTCCTGCCAACAGCATTTTATGAGGATTCCAGGCAACAGAATCCGCCCTGCAAAATTTATAAAAGGAGAAAGGGAAGTGGAAATTGTACCTGTAGTCATGGGTACTAGAGAATCAAAAATGGCCAAACACAATTCAAGCAGTCAAACCAGATTTCCCATTTTCTTCCCACACACACCCATATGTTTAGAAATCTCTCCAATTAATAGTATTTTGGAAAATGAAGCTCTCATGGAGGCCAGTAGGCCACACAACTTCCATCTTAGTCCCTGGTAAGTGTGCCCATGAACTAAACTGACTTACCGGTGGATGCCATGAAGAAGTCTGCAATGCTTCCTCGATACCAAAGCCGAGCCACCCCAAGAAGCCTGTTGGAACATTTACAGAGCCAAGACAATATTATTTTTATAAAATTATTTTCCTAAGGCTTCAACTAATAATTTCTGAAGACATTCTATCCCATTTAAAGTTTAGTTTACTACACAGTCAGCACGCTAAATTTTGCCGTTAGCATCATCTGCTGAAATAAAGATGGCAACCTGGGGCTACGCCTAAAATAGAGAAGCTGATGGTTTGTGCCACTATGTGAGCCACAAACTACGCTGACCCTTCTGTGTAAGCAAGGGCACGAACCGAAGTGTCCTTGCATAGCCAGACCCATTCCTGATACTGAATCAGAGGTGCTTCCTTTCCCCGAGCCTAAACCTAAGCAGTGAGAGCAGAAAGCCCCATCCAGCATATCTTCTTCCTGCTAGCTGTTTACTTTGAGACATTCACAAGGGAAACGGAGGAGATTAATTATAATCTCTGCCAATTGCAAAATCCAGGCTCAGATTTTCCACAGAGTTTGGATATGAAAAGCAAAGTCACTGAATAGGCAATAGCAGCATTTCTGTTACCAGCAATCCAACTGATGTTAAAATGGAGTAAGACTCACCCCATCTCCCTCAGATCATCTAAGAACTAGGTGTGTGGTTTAAGAGTCATTTAGGCCTCCTCCGAAGTGAGGAGCTCTCCATGAAACTCCTTATCAAGTGTGATTTTGTCTATTCTACATACCTGTCTAGATACCTTTGACACCTTTTGCAGATCTCTCTCTCCATGGATTATAGAAGGAACCCAGACAACAAGCTTTTATATTTACACAAGTTTAATTTCTAGGCAACTGGAGTCAGGGAAGGTGATTCTCATCCATGAATTCTGCAAGGATCACATTTCACCCACCAGGTGCCATGAATCTTCAGTTCTCAAACAATACTTCTCCACAGCGGTGGGGAGAACATGCAACCAACAGCAGACATGCAGCACATTTGAGAAATTATTATTAAATATTAAAAAAAGGATTTTCAATGTTCATGCAGGCAGAATCCACTGAAGGAAATTCCCTGTGAAATAAGCAAGGCTTCTCAGAGACATACAGGAGGCATCAGTCCACAAAACTTCTACATTCAGCCTATTTTAAAAAAAGATCCATACATTTTGGACTGATGAAGTAAAAAAAAAAAATCACTGATGTGAAGATTCCTGACCTAAGCATAGAGAACACATGCTTGTTTGGCTTTTGTTCTTTTTTTTTTCCCTTGAAAGAAACAGATGTGATAGCTGATCTATGAATTTAGCATCAGTATTTGCTTCATAGGCCATACATTAGGAATAAGATCTGCTGTCTCTGGGAGACAGGAATGATAAAGGCTCACAAGGGAAACAACAAGTTAATAACTCGTCTTAACACATGTTCTCATTAATGCAGTGCATTAATGCACCACATCATATTTTATGTTGTCTTGCTCACAACACCCTTGCTGAGGAAGGGGCTGCTGCTCAGTCTACAGGTGGGACCTAAGGTAGGAAATCATTTGCCTCAAACTTCACAGCAACCCAGTGGCAGAACCTTGACTTGAAACTGGGTTTCTCCAGCTAGCCCTAACTTGCCATGTTATGGGAAGACGATCAAACTGAACTTCCTATTCATAGACAAATTTTACTCTTCTCATTCTATGATTCAATAAAGTCAAACCAGTCACTAAATTATTCCCCGATTTTCATAATTCATAAGAAACCCACTGAAATATAACAAATCTTCACAAAATTTGCATCCAAAAGGTATCTATATTTGAAAAAGTTGACATTTTCACACTCTCTCTGAAAAGCAGGACTAGAAAGGCCCTCAAGAGGTCATCTCACCAGTGCGCAACCCCCAAAGGCAGGTAAGCCATATACATCTCATTTCTGTCCAGCACTTGTCTTTTCTGGAGATTACTAATCTATGAACACACCCTGCCTGTGATTCAAAATGAAAAGTAAGGTGCAGAGAGACATCGGCAATTGCTGTCTCCACAGCACTATTGGCACTACTTTCTGCTTTTGTTTTAAAAACTACTGCTGGAGATCTGGAAGAGAGGGATGATAGTACTGGAGGTCCAGGCATCTCCACCACCTTTGTCCCTCTTTGAGCCACAGTACTACAAGATGAATTTGTGCTCCATGCTTCTTCACCCAGTTCAAAGACCAGGTGCTTAGGGATCCAAGGCTGGCAATAGGCAAAAATTAATGAGAAGGCACCTGAGAAGACTGAGAATCACTGCCTTTGTCAGGTTTTGAAGATCTCTAATGATGGAGGCTGCACAATTTAGCTACTTAATTTGTGTTTAATAATAACAACCCTACAGATTTAGAACTCAGTCCTAAACAGCATTACCTCTTGTCATACCTGCAGTGTCAGGGGAACAGATTATTCCTTTTTTCTTCGCAGCAGCTTCTAAAGCATCTGTAGACTATTACGTATTTTCTCGGTCTTTTCTACTTTAAATAACATCAGTGCTTTCATTCTTTCCTTATTGGTCATAATTTCTAGACATGGTTCTGTTTATTTTCATTGCTTTATTCATTTCTAATCTTTCTCCTGTGGGTACTTAACCATCTTGAAATGCAGCTTTTTACTTGGACACCATCTAGATAAAGCAGATGGAGCACCAGAGAGAACCATTTTATTTATCTTCTTTATTCAATTCTGAAAGACATTTAAACTTATTTGAAAATGCTTATGACCACTGATTTGTGATGTACTGCAAACCTCAGATCTTTTTCAGTAGATCAGCTGTTTAGCAAACAATCTCCAGCTTTATGCAGATGATTATTACAGCTTAAACTAGAGCACTATCTTTATTGAACTGTAGCTTAGTTTTTCCCTTTTTTTTTTCCTCCAAACTGTCAAGATCTCTTTGATTTCTAATCCTGCTCTCCCACTGCCTCTTACAGTTTTATATCATCTTCAAATTTAGTCAGTGTATTCAAAATTTAGCCAGTGTATTCATTTTCATCCAAGTTATTAATGAAGATAACTTCTAATCAAGGATGGATCTTTGTGGAATCCTACTCAAACTTTTCTCCCCTTTCAGCAGTGAACCACTGGTTCAGAACTGCTCTGAGTATGATTTTCAGCCAGGTTTTCACTCACTATCACAGCTGCAGCTTGCCAATGTTTCTCTGCTTTCTGCTGAGATATTGCCATGACACAATAAAGTTAACTGCTTCTCCTCCATCCATGAGACTACAGAAGGAAGATAGATTTATCTAACTAGATTGACACATTTTATATATGACAAATCCAGCTGACAGCAATGCAGGGTAGCTCAAAGCATGAAGATTAATGTTATCAAATGTGTCCCATGCAATGTAACTGGTAACTAGGTATGAGAAAATTACTGTGTTTCATATGCAACAAACTGCTTACAGCTGAACGATAGGAATCACGGTGTTCGCAGTGTGATTAAACTAACTAGGTAAGCCCAGGCTAATAGGTCAAACCTGATTTTCTGTATTGGTCTAGCCACAGGAAAAAAAAAGTCAAAGGACCATCAGAGAAGAAACACTCATACATAGTATTTAAAGCTACATGAACACAATACATGACGTACAATAAGTGCTGGAGCTTGAGTGCATATTGATAATGCAAAACAAGTCATTAAGAAAGGCATCACAGATGTATAATAGGATGCAATAAGCAACTCAAATGTGTGTTTGAATACTGTATTGTGCACAAAATAAGCCCGATTATAGTCTCTGCACTTAGGCTGGCTTGAGTGCTGAGACAGTTTGCGTTTATTGGTGTCATCTTCTTAAAACAGCTTCTACCTTAACTTCCTTTTCCTCTTTAGGTTGGCCTCCATGTGAGACCTTATCTACAGTTTGACTTTACTGAAATTTATCTTCCTGAAGCCCACTGATTTTATGTTGACATTCTCCCTTTTACCCTTCCTAAGAATCACGAGCTTTATCATTTCCTATTTAATGAAAAGAGTCTCCCTAAGGCAAACATATCCATTTTCAGGATCAGAAAATACTCCGAAATGAGATGCATCAGTGTAAGTCTGAAAATAACACCACTGACATTCATATAAGATATTCTTATAAACAGCTCTTGAGACCATTTGCAGTAGATAATCCCGATTCCCATCAATGATACACAAAAAGTCCTAAATTAGACAGAACTTTCCCTATTTTTTTATCTTTGTTGTAATTGTACTCTATCTTTTTTCCTCCAGAGTTACAGCAGGCCCAAACAGCAGTACTCACTTGCTATAACTCAGACTGCATAACCTGTAAATCATTCAACATGAGGCCAGGCCTTTCAGAGGAATGTAGATCCTCAAAGCTTTCCAAAAACATTATATTCTTGCCTATAAGGCTAGAAGGAGGTAGGCTTGCTTAAGAAAAAAAAATCCAACTCTTCACATATCATCTAGTAAGTCTATTTCTAATGGTGCTGTGAGTGAAAAAAATGCCACATTTTGTATTACTGTCTGCTCATTTTACCATAGCACATTTGTATACACATGCCGGGTTTCACTTATCTCGAAAGCTTTCAGTCTCTTCCCCATACCCTGTTCTCATATAAATACAACTAGAAATTTTAAACAAAAAATAAGAAACAGCCATCCACTCAACTCTTCATAGAGGGTGAAACGAAAGATAGAAAAAAAAATACTGATAGAACTCCCGAGAACCCTTGAGAGGTTCATAACATGAATCACGTCTTAACAGAACAATTGGTCTTCCAGACCATATTACCCAATTTATCACTGTACATTTGTCTTTCTACTGGGAATCAATTAACATCTGACAACTACAGTCACTGTTCACACAGAAAATTAACTATAAGATATTCACTGACATTTTTACCTCAGCTTAACATGAGGCAAAGTTGGAAGATGAAAGTTAATTCTTTACAAAATACCTTCAACTGCCAAAGCAAGTATAGTTCAGAATATGGCGCAGGCTCATCCCACCTAACTTTAATTATACAACCACAGGGAGTAGGCTAGGAGACTACTCATTGCCCTCCAACAGCCATTGGAGATGGCTCCAGCCATGCCCATGCAACTCACCTACGATCCAACACAGATTCTGAACATATCCCTCTTTCCACTGACTACATGCAGACACGCAGGAGAGTAGCGCCTAAAGTGAATGCCGCGCTTCTGCTGAAGATCTGCTGGGTTGTTCTCACCAACACTCAGCCCTGAGGAGACTTTGCAGACACTTTAAATACTTGGGCTAAATGCTGCATCTTTGCCTCCAAGTCAACAAGAAAACTCTTTTGACTCACACATACAGCAACTTGATTTATTAATGTCTGAGACACATTTATTTGAAACACACATTGCTGCCTACATGAACTTTTTCTTTAAATACTTGACATTAAACAAACTTCAAAAATTTAGAGCAGGTCTAAAAACCTCCATTAATGTTACTCCAAATTCTTTCATTGCTTTGTGGCATTGCAATTATAGAGCGAATGCAATTTTAGAAAATATGAAGAGATCTAGTTTTAGAAACATACATTTACAGCTAACTCTTTCAGGTAATAAAAAGGCTCAATGATTATTCCAAAAAGGTTCATGAATGGATTTTAATATTCAAACCTACAGTTATAAAGAAATGAGAAAAGAAAAATTTCTGAACGATTTAGGAAAAAGTAAGGACATGTACAGGAAACTCCAACCTGTAAATATGAAACAGAATAATTTGTGACTGGTTGAGTCAGAAATATACCTTTATTTAATCTGTATGAACCGTACACCACAATTCTAATGTGTCCATGCTCCAACAGAATGTGGAAAAAATCTGAAGTTATATTTGTATATAATCACCCTTTAGCATTTTAGGTAGCAGGAAGGAAGAAATTTATTTTTAAATAATTTTTAAATATAACCTGACAATGACAAAATAGCTTCAACTGCTTGTCACAACCAAATTATTTGCTGGTTTTCAACCCATGGAACAGAGACAAATCAGAATGTATTTCTGTTCTCTATGCACAAAAAAAGTTATTAGTGCCCAACTTACTTCTACACAGAAACATCAACAGTCAAAGAAAAATAGCAATTACAAAAAAGCAATGCAAAACAAAACTACACAGGATACAAACTCACATCAACATGAAGCCAGAGGCCATGCTTTTCACAGATATCGGCAATTTTATCCAGAGGATCAAATGCTCCCAGCACTGTTGTGCCTGCTGTAGCACAGACAAGAAATGGTGCTGACCCCTGCAATAGGATTCAAAACAAAAAATTTGTCATTTGGACTGCTCGTTTCCTCCACTGTATCTGTAAAGCTAAAGTATAAAAAGGTCTAGGAATGTAGGACAAAGACGCAACAAGTCTACCGTTTAGCTTCCCAGCAGAAGGCACTGCATTTAAAAGTGCTGACTCAAAAAAAAAAAAAAAAAAAAAAAAAAAAGGCATTTTCCATTTCCAGTTAACACCATCCCAGGGCAAACTTCACCAGCTTCAGACTGTTTTGACAGATGCTAGTTTTGTCAAGATCAAAACATACCGGATATTTGGCATCTCTTTTTATACAATGATTTTCGTTTCTCAGTTTTCCACATTTTACTACAGTAATTGCAGCCATTCTGCTAAATAAAATGAAGCTACTAGCTCAGCCAGCCGGCTACCCCTGCAAGGGAAGGACTCATCCCTCTGGGGCTTCCACCTGCGCTCTCTCTACGATGCCCCTTTTCTCTGCCTAGTGAGGGGGAACCTTCAGTTAGGGGACACGATTTGCCTTCGGCAGCACTGGCACAGTCATCACTATCTGACCCCACTGCCTGGTCTACAGCAAAGTGCTATTCTCTTGCTCCTTCCCCTGTCTAGAAAACAGGAGGGGCTGTAGATGGTAACTGAACATTAGGAGAGAGACCACTGGAAATTCCAGTTTTGAAATTGAGAGCATCAGCCACAGAAATGACTGTGCAGTCTCACTTGCTGGTAACTATATGCTGAAGGATCTCCTTTGCATGTTTCAGGATCTGGCCCAAAGCATGACAACACAGTTACTGAAGAGGCACTAAAGTTGTTATTAAATTGTACAATCTGAGATCCCTGGAGTTCATTTGCAGTGGATTACAACTCTCAGATTATATAAATCTCTCTGCTGATGCAACTCCATGTAGCTTCACTGAAATTTATCGGCTGGGGGGGAAAAAAAAAAAAAAAAAAAAAAAAAAATCAAACTCTACACATGAGTCTTTGAAATCTGACCTCTCTTTTTTTTTCTAAAAAGCGTTGCCACTTTTAAACATCCACTACAGCGACAGACAGATTTGATTCACATTCACACTCTGATAGTTTTATACTTCTTTAACAGTGGAGGACTGCTAGAATGGTGCATAATTATGATGTACTTGTATTTTAAAGTTTCTTTACAAATTGTAAAGTAACCTTGGAATGAATTTAAATGAATCCCATACATTCACAAAGAATTACCAGCCTATAATTCACTTCTTGGTCACTCATTCCTAGTACAACTTACAAAAGTCAATCAAACTCACAAAACAGCCTGAAGCTCAAGTACAAAACACACATGCAAGTGCAGCAAAGATGTATCTGCTGCACTTAACAGTTTGTTAGCATTCTCATCAATTTTCTCCCACAGCTACATCAAAGTCAAAGCTCCCACAGCACCCAGCAGGTAACATGACTAAATATGGGGACAAGTCTAAGATCTCTACAAATTCCTAAGATTGTTACCATTACCTTTTTTCCCCCCACAAAGAAGGGAATTAATTTTTTATTGTTCTTGACAATATAGTTAAAAAATCTTCCTGACTAAATCCTCTAAAAAGAGCCTAAGACTCTTGCTACTCATAGACAGTGATCATTTTGTGCGCTTACCACTAGCAAACACATCCTCTCTTGACTAGAGTTATTAGAATATTTACTGTAATTCACTGAAGTGTCTTTCTGTAAGAGTTGTAAAATAGCACTTTATCAAGGACAGGCATGCTTACTGAAGCTCTGGTGAAATGAAAACCTTCCAATATACCTGTAACTTTCATTAAAATGGAAGTGAAATAGCGTTACTCCTGTTAGCAGAGCCTTTGAATGCAGAACATTTGTTTTTAAATGGCTGAGCACCATGCTGAGGCTAATTTTAAGTCATAAATGCCAGATCATTTTTTAGAAATACCTACTGATTTATTATTACACCAACAAACAAAAATTCTGTTTAAGAACAAAGAGTTCGTTCTCCTGTCAGCCTGCTTCCTCTTGCTCCATTTTATTTCAGTCCCTTTTTTCTTACATGGGTAAAGTACAGATGTCTTGCATGGATAATGCAAAGTATAGAAAGAGGCAAACAAGAGAGTTTGCTAGGTAGTTAAGATCACCATGTATCAATAGTTATGCTATCTAGCATGAAATGCAAAGAGGAGATGGTTGTTTGGCACAAGATGTATCCAGATCAGCTCTTAGTGAAAGCTGTTGTGGCCATGCCAGTGCACGACAGGACAGCACTGCCTTGGACAGCACTTGTTGATAAGCCACAACAGTAGGGTTTCCCAAGCTAGGATTCCATGGTAGGCATTGTTGACACCATGGACATGGACATTGCACTAGTTGCTTGGTATTCACAGATCATCAACTAAGAGCTAAGCTCTGAATCCTACTGCTCTCATGCACAAACTGGAAGTGAGAAGTAAGGTGAGCTAACAAAACCAAAAGAATGTGCCTTAGAATTCACATTCAATCCTCCAAGCTCTATAAGACAAAATGTTGACTATAGTAAGTGCTGTCTTACAGATTGTATGAACGCATGTTAGCGTTGTCTAAATACACACATCAGTACATTTCTAAATACTGGCCTTTGACTTTCTACTTGGCAAAGTCCCTGGGGGAAAAGAGGCATGGGATGCAATCTCCACATTCTTGCTACAGTACTAGAAAAGACTAAATTTTGCATTTGTAGCTTGTATGATAGCTTTAGAGACTAAGCCACATGTTACAGCTCTTGCTCACTGCAGAGGATAGAGCAATATCTGCTGTAATTAACTCAAAAAACTACACTTTTCATTTACCATTTAAGGAAAACAAATACTGCTTCCAATTAAAAAAGGATCAAGGACAAAAGAAATCCTAGAAGAAATGTGCTAAACACTTTACAGCAGTGTTGTATTCAGGACTTTTGTTAGTAGTAAACACCCTGTGGAATTTTTCTCCCTCATAACTGTGTAGCACCTAGAAGTCGTGGCTTATTCCACAAGTTTGTGGCAAACAGACTGCAACCTGCAAGAGAGACACTGGTATATCAACTGCCCTGTTTTTAAGATTTCGCTCACTCTTCCTTCCTTTCACTCAGACACAAGCACACAGTCTGCATACACTTCCCCTCTCTCCTTCATGCTCTCCCTCTTACCTCTTTCCTAGTCCGTTGGACTTGTTTCTCCAGTTCCTCAGGCATCATCTTACCTCTAAGGGACACAAATTTAAAACTTTTTCAGTTACATTCAAATAGGCTAGTTATATACAGCACTACTGCATTTTAAAAGGGCTCAGAGACCACAGCCATGGCTTTTGCTTGCTTACTTTTCATCTGTTTTGATGAAGTAAACATTCTCGGTACCAATACCCAGGAAGGAGGCTGCCTTCTTCATGGAGTAATGACACTGTAAATGAGAGAAGCATGAAAAAAAAAGTAAGTATGCAATTAAAACAAAAGAAATAAATTCCTTAGCAGAGGGAACAGTGACAGTTAAATTAATTTAATAGCAGCTAACAGTCATGACAACAGCATATTCTAACACAAAAAGCAAACTGACAAAGCTACATAGCACCAAGACCACCTTGTATTTAACAATTAATGACACACACTGAAGACTGGGGAAAATAAGACAAAAAAAAAGATGTGCACTATGTTTAAAATGTGAGCTTAAAAAAAATAAAAGCTCTACTCCATACAATTTTTACAGCTGGTTCTGCATTAGAATGAAAAGTAGAAATTTCGAAGTGTCACCAGGAAAGAATTATTAATTGTTTCAAAATGTTTTAATAGAACTGAGTCAAAAGTATCGATGAGTCCAAGAGTTAAGAAATGCATGAGAAGAAAGGTCCAAAAGCTATTGAACTCAACAGCCTAGAAGCAACTGATAGATGTGAAGGTCCAAAAGCACCACTCCTTGGAAACTGGACCCTCAATTAGGATGTATCTTATGATATATCTAAAGCCCCTACCACTTTAACCTTGTAATTTTTCTACATGCTTTCCTTAGAAGGCATTATGAAAGCAAGCAGACTTTAGACAGGACTTAAGCACATCTTCAAAAGTCTTTAAATAAATACAGATTTTGCAAAAGGTTCCATTCTGGACCAGTCTGCATTTTCCAGAAAAATGAAGTATTTCAGCAAAGTATTTTAGCTAGGTCTCATCAGAGGCATGTTTGAATGATTACAGATACATGCAGCCCACTTCCCAATTTGCACTGAATAAAGGGCACTAATGTAGCTTGTGAAGTGAGTGTAAAAGAAGAGACCCCTTCACTTGCCCCAAGGATGTTAGAAATGGGTATTTATTCAATCAGAATGTGGTAAAACAGCTCTGGTAAGGAGGATACTCAAGGCCACAGTCCACTCTCTACTTTTTACAAGCTTTTTTCTGTTAAACAAATATTCAAGGTCTTTTATCTTACCACATTTCCAACATCCACCTCTAAGTTAGGACCTGCTCTACTGTGGATGCTGTTATTCTAGCATAAGGACATTTTGTCTTACTCCAGAGTAACAGTAGGCTGATCTCAGCTTAATCCATCTTCGAGATTTACCTGGGAATTCAAAGATATAGTAACCTTCTTAATCTGAAGACACTTCTAGATGTCAAAACCACTCTGCATACCCTGCAGCATGCCAAATGCCTACCCACTCATAGCAACGGAGTCAGTTTTGAGAGTATGCAGCATCTCATAGGACTACACGGTTGTTCTCAGAATCAAGATCATCCAAGCCTTGGATTATCCCTGCTCTTCTGAAAAAATAAAATTGGCTCTTTTTCACATTATTACTGAAGAGTTAAAATAATGCACACTCCAGCAACCATGAAGATGTCTAGAATTGTTACTTTTCATACAGGAGGTGAAGCCAGGTGGTTAATTAATTCCATTTTCTTCCAGAGAGTTCACACAAAAGCAGTTACTGTGGAACATAATTATGAAAAATGTACAACATTTTAATGTGTGGGTATGAATATATTAAGGGTATTAAAGCCTGTCACGCTTATTTTCATGAGATGGATCATCTCCAAGGGTTCTTTTTCTTTTTGACAAAAAGGTTTCCCCCACCATCACCCACTTTTTAAATAAAGGCATACGAAGACGCTATCTGATACTATCAGATAGTTTTAAGAAAGCTTAATTTTGTAACATGACACATCCACAAAGCCTTTAGGGCTCATTCATTTAGCTGTTACAAGAATAACAACATACATAGGTGGATAATTAGTCTTACATTACATCAAATTACAACAATAATGGTAATAATGATTGTAGAGTGGCTGTGTGTTGTTCAGTAGAAGTTTGGAGATGTTTTCAACTGATTAGTGAACCACTTAAAATACAAGTTGCCTCCACCACTGATTTCTATTCATAAGGTTCAAATGAAAGGTATGAATCACCAGGAATAATCAGATTGCTCCAAACTAAGAAAGCAGTAGACCTCCAAATTCAGTATACTAGTAAACAGGCAATCACTAAACCATGTATTTTATTATAAAAAAATGGTATGGGAAACTGGGAGAAAGTTAAAAGAGGCTCGAGCACCTCAGAGATTATACCAAAAAAGCAGAGGGAAA